AACATTGATCAAAATGCGATGCCATACGATAAATTAATAATTGCAATCACTATAAATAGCTGGGGACACACATTAATAAATAAGAAAATCATTTATTTACAGATATTATTAAGTGAAAAAAGTATACAAAGTATGGAAGAGCTTTAGGCGCACGATACAGTGCGATTCAGACTCGTTAGCCAAAAATTTCAGCTTGATCATCTGAAAAACACTATACTTTAGTTGCTTTGAAAAATGCCGAAGCATCATAATAATGTACACGATGCGAGTACAGTACAGTAATTTATTTGGTACATGAATACGGCATACGAATGATTCATGGCAAACTTTTGAATCCGTGAGACAAAAGTTGCTGTTTTCTTGAATTACTGTATCTCTCAGCGAACTTCCGATTCTTCGCTCTTTCTTTTGTGCCTCCCTGGAGAAGTCCTCAAGCATTTCAATGAAAAAATTCTGTAAATCAGAATCTTCACCTTAATTCACCAGACAAAAGTTTCGGGTTTCTTATATACAGTATCATCTCTCATAAAATTGCCCAGTGGTTGCACTTTTTTTTCTGCCCCCCAACTCTACCCTTCGTAATCCTCAAACTTCTCAATGGGGGAAAAAAAAGGTGAAAATCCGAATAATCTTATTCACCTTGCAGGACTTGGCATCAACAGCCTGGAGGATAAAAGCCGAGGTAGCAGTCTTGAATTCGGACAATATTTGCTGTCGGTCACGCCGCAACAGCGCTGGGCTGTCGAGGAACTACTGCTCCGCGAGATGGTTTTTACCGACTGCGTGATGGAACTTGAACTCGCACCTTAGACGCGGTGGCCTTCGCGGTCACGTGCCTGTCGCGGTACTGGTTCCAGTACTGCTCTTGCCCTTGCCTCCAGAGATGCTCTTGCAGATCAAAAACACGTCCGTGAACAAGAAGCAGTGCACATCCATCTGGCTTATTGTGTCGCCCCACCCTAGTGAAGGCCTACTCAAGAAGCGTAAGAGCTGACGACGTTGGGCGCGACTTGTAAAAATTTAGGCCTTTTGGTACATAAAGAGCCCCTACACAAGTTTTTATTTTTTATAACTCCAAGGGAAAAAAGGGCGCGATTCTTATGCTGCTATACAAGTAACCAGAAAAAAATAAACGATAATTCAGGAAGTTCACGAAAGAATAATCATCAGCTACAGGAAAACGATGCACAAGCATGCATCCTCATAAAATTAAGATTCTTAATGTAAAAGCATCCATCACACTGAAATTAACCCTGAAAACGGCAAAATTAATTATTTTTCTTTTCTTTAAAAAAATGCCTGACATGGCAGGAATTCTATAAATCTTCCTTCAAGTTCTCCTGCATTTTTTTCATCTACCTCAAGTTTAGAAAAACCAAATTAATTCAGAATAAGACCCCCGAAATATCTTCATTTTAGCGGGATATAGTTCAGCGTGGATTACTCAGCATTTTGCGAGCACAAATGTGCAACAGAAGGTCTCGTAGCTCAAATCGTTAAAGTAAATTTGTTAACCTATAGAATGCTTCATAAATATTTTCGTTTTATCTTCTAAAACTGAAAATCAAAAAGTGGGTAAATTTGATTTGCTTTTTTATTTCTTGGTTCCTCGATTTCTTATCAGCACGAGTGAATACTGCTGTGAGATAAAAAGTAAAAAAATTTCGACCAAAAGTTATCCTATTTTACCGGTCTCTGTGTAAAAGACGTGTGCTTTAAAAGACTTTTGGTTTGTCCGGAGTAATTTAACAAAGAAAAGTAAAAGACTTTGATCCTTAGTTAGTCACTCATATAAACAAAAGCGATTCTTACTTCTTGGATACTCGATTTGTTATCAGCACGTGTGAATACTGCTGCGCAAGAAAATAATTTCGTCCAAATATTTCGGGTAGAACGGTCGAACACAAATTTTCAGCTTACGAAATTATCAGAAAAAAACCAAGCTTCATTATATATATATTTTTTTCATTTTATCTTCCGATGAAACTAGAAATCCAAGAGTGAGTAAACGTGTTTTGCTTTTTTTCATTTCTTTGATAATCGATCTGTTTTCAAAAAGTGCGAATACTGTCGCGACACCGAAAATTGTTTACCAAAAATTTCGGATAAAACGGCCAGAGACAGTTTTTCTGCTCACGAAATTATCTGAGAAAAACATGCTTAATTAACTTTTTCGCGTTATCTTCCAAAAGTATCGTTGAAAGAGTGGGTAAATGTGTTTTGTTTTCTTGTTTCTTGGATACTCGATTAGTCATCAGCAAGCGCGAATACTCTTGCGACACCGAACATTTTTGACCAACAACTTCGGATAAAACGGCCATCAGAGGCAATTTTTCTGCTCATGAAATTTTCGAAAAACAGGAAATATCATCTGACAATCGGCTAAAGTACGGAGAGACTCGTCTTTTTTTTTCAGAAAATGGCACAAACCTTTGACGAGATGTGATCACGAATCTTCAGGTCACCCTCGTGCAAAAGCACCCGGATTTGATCCGAAGCAGCGACAGCCGCGAATCGTCCGGAGGGTGAAGCCATTATAGCAGCATTGCTCGGCAACCCGACCATCGGACACGCCAGATCCAGTTCGGAATACTTCTTGATCAGCTTCTGCAGCTCGTCATCTTTCGAGTCCTAATTAAATGAAAAAACCAAAATAAATGATGAAAAATTAAGACTGTGAAAGCTCCTTGAATTTCGAATTTAAAAAAAAAGGCAGGAGATTTCAATGCAGAAATACACGACTCAAAGCTTTACCAAGACTTCGTAGGCACTGATCTTGTTTGACAACTCGTCCAACCGAATCTGCTCTTGCTTGTGTCGTAAGGCAGCGTTAATTGCAGTAACAAACTGTTCCGTCCTCGCGACCTTTGAAATGAAAAAAAAAAACACACACACCGTGTTGAACAATTTCCGCAGAGTGAAACAAAAAGAAGAATCATATCTCAAAAAGCAAGAAATATTTTTTTTCTCGTTTCCCAGCTGCTTAATTACATAAAAAAGAGAATATAAAAATCAGTACCATTTCAACCAAGTCCTCCTTTTCGTAATCTTCGTCGGAATACTTGAGAATAACTTTGAGCAGCAGCGGGTATTTGGTGATGCGCTGCATGGGCTTCACCAGCAAGTCCATGAGCCGCAACCGGTTACAATCCTTCTGCGTCTCACACCACTGTTGACATTAACGTACAGCAAATGAAATATAAATTAAATAAAACAAACACTTTCAGCAGATAGACAAAAGATACGAAAAACAAACGAGATACGGTGCCAACGATGCACGTGAAAACATCCCAACACTGCCATAAAGCTTCGCAAAAAAAATTTCAGTCTTCCAAAGCATTCTCGATTATTAGTTATGCTGAAATCTTACTGAATTTTTATACTTTATCGAAGTCCAGAACGTTTCTTCTCATTTAGAAGATCCAATATGTAATGCTCAATATCGAAATCATTTATTTAAAAAAGGTTTCGATTGTCGCAAAATATTTCAGTAGCCTCGAGACACATTTTCCACCAGAAAGATTCATCGAAGGGAACATTATAAAGACTCTCAAATTTTTATCGATGCATAAGGCAGCGGAAACCTGAGAAAATTTCCAAATTTGACCAATGAGTCTACAAGATTTCTCGGTCGTACATTTGTCTCATCAGAAAATGCAACAATATTTAAAAATAATCACGCCGTTTCCTTAATTAATTCGATTTTAAGACTGCAAAATCCAAGAGGGAGTACATTTGCGATCTGAAACAATACAAAAAGGTACAAGGGTGGCAAAAATATTCAAGAACCTCGAATGAACCTCAAGGTATGTTTTGGAAGGATATTATTGCTCTATTTCAAGGAACACCCAGTTCTTAATTGATAAATTTTATTATTATACGCATGTATTTTCTTTTCTTTATCAACTTTACTGATAAATTTAAGAAAGTGACAGTCTAAAATAAAATAATAGTACAGTATTTCACATTTTGAATTTCCTTGATTATTTCATAAGAAGATCAAAATTTTTCACAAATCTGTAGTGGAAATATTTTCAATGAATTATTACCTGTTATCCAACCAACCTTGAATTAAATATGCTCAAAGAGCCAAGAATCGTGCGATGATGAATTTTTCATTTAAGCAATTATTTTTTCGCGGGTCCCTGATGGGAACTTGTCGTTGGTGACTAGATTTTATCGTGATTTAAAACGACCATACGGAAATGCCTATGATTTTCTCTGGAGTTTTCAACCACTGCTGATGATGTTTAGCAACGAAAGCACGATGAAATGAAGTGCCCACCGCCAAATACGCCTTGAACATCTCGTTTTCCTGGTCACGCTCCCTGCAATACTGCTGGCAGCCCGTCTGCTCCAAGCAATACTCCGTGTACGGCCGCAGAACATTCTCCAACTGAGTGAGTGATAACAAGAAAAAAAAAAAACCGTGAGTGAAGTGAGTGACATGTTCGTTAGCTACCCATAGTCATCCCCCTCAATCTCCAATAAGGCTATTCTTAGAATCCGAACCCGCCGGGCCGCGCCTTCGGAAATTTGACCACTTGCATCCTCGGCCAGCAAATGACATTCCAATAATGGTGTCGACGAGAGAAAAGCAATCAGGCAAAATTTCACTAGCAATTTTCTTTTTTTTTCTTTTTTTCATCTTGCCGAGTATTTACTCGAGTATATAGCCTCCAATATAAGGTGCGCAACCCTTTTTTTTCTCGTGAAGAACTTCCATGTTTCAAAAAAGAAAAACAAGAGTTCAAGTTTTTAAATGAATTCAGACTCAATTTGATTATTTTAAATCGTTTCGATATTAAAAAATTCCTTTCAAAACTTTCCCATTATATTCTTTTCTTTGTGCATATTACCACGTATTTACACGAGTATATTCTTGAGTATATAAGACGCGAACCCCATTTTTATTGAACAACTTCAATGCTGCATTTAAAAAATAGAAGACACAAGAAATAAACCTGAACTCAATGATTTTCAATTTTTTCTGATTCCCGTCGAGAATTGTGATGCTCATGCACTTCAACGTCTCACATTTTTTTTTGCACATTTTATAACCGCTTACGTGACTCGCATCCCCTTTTTCTTGTCAATTTAAAGAAAAAGGGTGCGTGTGGTACTCGAGTAAATACGGCTTGTCAAAATTTCAAATCCATGGAAGGCATGAATCTTGAAAAAGGTACTGTACTGGTATATGGGGTCGAAGACTTGGGTGTTTTCGTTCTGGTTGATCTTTTTTCTTTCTTTCGAGAGATTTTTTGTTGCTCGGGTTTCTGTATTCACTTATTGGATGATCTTCGTCAAGGTTATATTTCCCAATAGGTATCTTTTCTGTAGGTCACCGGAATATTCTAAACTTCTAAATCATCATTCGGAAAAACTTTACCGACGTTGGGTTAACGAGGAGGGTTAAAGTAATGCCAAACGAACTTCGATTTTCTCGACGGCGTATTTCGACAAGTTTTTTTTTTCCTCCAAGGATTTTGATTTCTATGCTTGAAGAATCGGCAGGAAAACTGCAAAAACGTACCGAGCAAAAGCCATCTTTCATGAGTGAAGGGTCGAGCGGCTCCTTGGAAGACCTCGCAATCTCAAGNGAGCAAAAGCCATCTTTCATGAGTGAAGGGTCGAGCGGCTCCTTGGAAGACCTCGCAATCTCAAGCATCGGCAAAATCGTGCGGCGCCAAAAATCCACATTTGCATTCAAAATATCTTGCATATTTGCAAACAGCTTGTTAACGTCGATGTCCACCAGGATTCGGGATTTCCGCAAGTTCATCAGGCATGCCAAGAAAAGCTAAATAAAATAAAATATGAAGGGAAAAATAATAATTTCTTCGTGATGTCAGAAAAACTGCTCTAATAAATCATCAGGACGAGGAATCGTCCATGAAAAATAGAGCATTTCGGCCGTCGGAAGAATTTTGAAAGATCTTCATCTGTTGCAAGAAAAAGAAAACATATCATACCTTAGTGATTACTTCGACATCGACGATATAAGCAGCCTCAGTTTGTATCAACTCCCAAATGGCCGTTTGTTGCTGACGTTTCCTTTCCGAAAACCGACTCGCGTCTGCAACGATTGACGTCCAGTCGTCCTCCAACCGGAAGTCCTCTGCTCAAAAACATAAAAAAAAACATTTTTGCAAAAATAATGAGCAACATTTCTCTTATTTGCTGAAAAGCTTTCGGCAATCACAAAGCCAAACGGTCGCACATGAAAGCCTAATGATGCGCAGCTAAATCGGAACTGTTCAGCAAGCAAGTACTTTCACACATGAATTAATATTTTGTCCAGGAACATTTTAGCGAATCACCATCAGCATGTCGATGAGGGTTGTCAAAAAAAGAAAACCTTATTTTAAAAAATCGTTCGACAAAACCATCCCCACTCGAAGGCGGATAAATTAACCAGGTCAGTGAGCAGAGTAATATAAAAACTTGGGGGGGGGGGGGTTATATTATAATTATTTTTTACATACAGGCATTTCAGGGAAATGCACGCAAATATACGACTCCAGCCATTTTAAATACATGCACGACAGAAGCTCAAATATCACGGGCTTCGATCAACACTGGGAAGAAATTTGAATTCGTCAACCGAATGAAGCGGTCGATGTTAATTTCATTTTATCCGGTTCACTTCCTCAGATTGACAAACTTTTCTGTAAATTCATCATGAAGCTCATATCAATATGATGATTACCAAAAAGAGGAAAAATGTGGAACTAAATATATTTTTTTAGGAGACAAGGAAAACAATTGAGCATCGAGGTCAATTCACGTGGAAATATACGAAAATGTTCTGCTCTTTGAAAATTTTCGGACGTTCGAACCTTTATACTTCTCAAGAATTTCGTCGCTTGGACAAATTAGCAAGGTCACACAATCTACTTTTTCAATTTTCCAACATTACAACATGCAAGAGCAAACTTCAAAAACCTTCTTTTTGGCGACTGAAAATACAAACATGCAAAAAATATTTTTAAAACATGAGACTTCTATGCACTAAAAATGGGGAAAATAAACGTATCCAAAAGTATCCTGATGTAGTGAGGACAATAAGAGGGTATTCACTAGGGCCCACACTTCTATCACTCTCTTTTCAAATATAAACTTTCTTTTTTATTCAAAAATTTTGAAACTCTCACGATGTTTAAAGCAATGCTTGATAAATAAAACCATCAAATTTTAATCAATTTGAACAGTTTTAAAAGGCTTAAAAGAGTGGTTCATGAAAATTTGTATTTGGTCAATTTTACAATTTTCTGGTCATCTAATAATTTTGAAATTTTGATACATTGTATTGTCAACGATGTTTGATAAGTGTGGAAAATTTAAGCTAGAGTGAACATTTTCAAGTGGGTTAAATTTCAGTTGTCAAACTTTGCTAAATTTAAACAAACATACATACCTCCAGTTAGGTTGAATAAAAGTCCATAAAAATTTGTTCGAATGACTTCAACGTGAGTTTATGAGGCAAATGAGAAAGATTAATTTTTAATGAAAAATGCGCGCTTTTTTTCATATCGACCGATATTTATCTCGATGCCCTCGTTTAAACCTTGCCTTTGTTGGCAAGAAAATGTACTGATACTGACTATAGTACTTCCGGTCAGGTACTGTAGGAGAACCGAGCAGCAATAAATTCGGGAAATTGCCGGGATTTCTTACCGTGCTCACTGGCCAAAGAGTTATCCGAGCTCAACGGAGGGATTCCGTATTTTCCGTACTGGTTCAGCTGCTCGGCCAACTCTTCCATTCGGTCCACGTCCTGAAAAACAAAAGAGAAAACCGCAATTGAAAAAAAACAGCTTCGCAGTTGAAAAAAAATTCTCAAAATATGCATGGAAAAAATAGAAACACACGTTCAGTTTTGAATCTTTCAATGAACGAAAACAATCGGAGGGAATGTCTGGGTTTGGGACAAATAAGGAGCAACATCTTGGTGATATAATAATAACCTCTCCTAGAATATCTCAAAAGTAAAATCTAGAGAGTGGTAGCTTCATCGCTGCATTTTTCTGCTGATTTTCAGACTTTTCTGTAAAATCGAAAAACAATTTTTCTCCAAATTTTAGACCCTGCGGACAATCTTGTAAATTATGATTCTTAAATTTTCCGAAAAATTATGCATTTTGCTGGTATTGTTTAATTTTCAAAGTGCGTTCACATTTGTACATAAGTTGAAAGTTACTTGTAGACACTGCTGAAAATTCATATGTCTTCTCATCCTAATGCATAACATTCTTTAATTTACACTCAAGTTCGCTGCCAAAGCAATCAGCTGATTGCATGCAGCGCCCCCTTCATTTGGTTGACAATCCCCTTTGAAGATCCAGTCCAAACAAGGCATGCATTCTGTCATTTGTCATCTCATTACGTTCTTCTAAACGAGGGGGCCAACATAAAAAATAATAATTCATTTGAGTACTTTCTTAATGCTTCGACGGGATCGGATCGTTCGAGAAAACAGGCGTTTTATTGCAAATAAAAATCAAATGCACCGAATTTTTCTGCCTAGTCAAGGATATACGTTCCGATTCATATTTCTCTCCATGTTTTACGAAGGTTATTGACATAAATTTAGATGAAGAAAATAAGGTTTTCGCGCATGCATTTAAAATTAAAGACTTGAGCATTTTCTTGCTGCGGAACGACTCCGAAATTTCGATGCGCACATCGCACAACTTTTAATCGTATACAATTCGACTTTGGAAGATTGAGTGGAACAACTTCAATTCAATTTCAAAAGAAAAATCCTGGAAACTGAGCTAAAAAATTAACAGCAGAATAATTTTACCACATTTACAGAATTGTTGAAAATTTCATAATATTCAACGTACAGTAATCGGCACAAAAGAGCGGTCCTTTAATTTTAATCATTCTTCATTTACCAGCGGGATCTCTTAAAATGGCAGAAAATATTTGCATGTAATTGGATTTTCGACAATTTTCAGTAGCCTAATGCAGACGCAATATCACACTTGAACCGTGAATCCAAGAAGGCAGCAAATAAGAAAGTAAATCAAATATAAGACTCTCTTAAAACACATTTTTTGTCCCAAGAAGAAGCGTAATAAATCCCGATACAGAAAGCGGCATGTGTGTTTGATGTGCAGTCTGCATTTGCATGCTCAAAGAAGGAGAGAGAGAAAAAAATAGGCTTGACTAATGCTATTCCCAAGATATCAACAATCAGGAATTATGAATGAGGGAAAAAAAAGGAGGAATGAATGCATAGTATGCAGGTTTATCAGTGAGGAATTTTCACAGCAGAGATATTGTGCCTTGAAGAAGATCCCCGGGGGGTTTTCCCACAATTTTCGCCAGCAGTCGATCGATAGCCGCCACGCGGCGGCACGTCCGCCACCGGGAATTAGTCGAGGGACAAAAACCCAGAGATTCGCGCAAAAGTTTTCGGCGGTAAAATTCTTTGCCAAGAAAAATGTCCCATTTTTTCCCCTCTCTCTGTCTCGGTGATCGCACATTTCCATCTGTTCTTTCTTATTGTCGACTCGGCTCGAACGGCCGTCACAAAGCGCTTTGCACATTTCGATGAAGGCAGAATTTCGGCACTAACTTTCTACTTTCGATGGCTGAAAAAAAGCAGAAATTTAGTACACTTCCCCTCTGCCGAATTTCCTTATCAGTTTGAAAGAAGTGCTGGTAAGAAAAAAAAAAGAAAATGATTCCTCGCACTTTGAGCAGACGAGGGAATGGAAATTAGCAACAACAACAACAACAAAAAGGGTCCAGAACTTTCGGAAATGCGATCATCGAGGCATCGATTCAGTTTTCCCCTTGAGAAGGTTTTCATCTGCTTCCGATTCATCCGCGTCGACACGCGACAGCTGCCGTGACAGGAGCTGCATACCGCACCAGAGGACTTTTCATTCCAGTCTGGTTTTCCCGCTCGCCTGATGGTCCACTTGTTCTCGACAGCATTTTCCAGATGAAAAAAATGCGCAGTATATAGAGATATATGCATATATTCGGCTACAGCAGAGCCGCTGCTGGAAAGCAATTCAACCACGAGGCTTAGAAAATTCAGACGGAAATACTGCTGATAAAAATAATAAGAAAAAACGAACGCAGAACGCCG